AGATTTTTTTTCCAAAAATTCTAACCCTCAAAAATAGGGGAGGAGACCCCCTATATATAGAAAACATGAATTCCATACAAGGAGATCCAGCCCTACACATGGGTGCAGATGCATGCATCTGTGCAAACACCTGGCACAACTGGCATAAAATATCTGTAAAACACACTGGTGGCCGACTGGCCACACCAATGGCTGACAACCAGGAGACATGGCCGACAGCCCATGGTGGTGGCCGACAAGTCACTCAGGCTTGAAACACCAAGGTTTTGGTCCAAAAACAAGGTGACATGGGCGCAAGGCTCAAAGCTGTGGCATTCCGCTAAGGACTTCGAGCACTTGGTGAGAAAACAGACTCATCAATGAGTGTGCATGCGAGGACGCCCAAGTCGTAAGGGCTATCAAAAATGGGGTGTCTATAGTTTCCCCTCTTTGACAGAACTCGGAGTCATGAAATGACGTGAGTGAATGTCAAAGCCCGAAGACGACCTGTTTTGATAAGGCCGTAAGACTTGGACAAACAATCAAGACGAAAATAAATGGTTGCACCCGTAGGCTGTCTACGTATCCCTTTGCAAGGAATCAAACCAGCGTAGTTCAAGGGGCAGGATGCAAATGAAATGCACGATGCGACTTTGAAAGCTGGACTCACATGCTACGTGAAGCCAATGATTTTGAAATCTTATGATCATACGAGATGATGCAATAAGCAACTAACAACAAAATGTTAACAACACATGAATGTATGAATGAGTTGCTTCAAGCTAAAATCAACACAAGTTCCATGCAAGAAGAACTAAAACACACTCTAACCATGCCAAAGCAAGAGACGAGGAAAGAAAACACCGCTTAGGGTTGCGTTTCACGCATCCTGAGAAAAAGGGAACAAAAATTGCTTGGGCTCGTATTTCACATATCCCGAGAAACAAGAACAAAAACTGCTCGGGCTTGCATCTCACATATCCCGAGATGAAATCCGCCGAAGGCGGCGTTTCGCGCGTCCTGAGAAACAACCACTTGGGTGCGCACTTCGTACGTCCCGAGGTAAAAGAGAGGGGTGTGCGTGGATGCACGAAGGTGAACAAGTGTGATAGATACATAAGTTAAAGGAGTGCGATAGATGCACAAAGGTGAACAAGTGTGATAGATGCACGAGTTAAAGGAGTGCGATAGATGCACAAAGGTGAACAATTGCGATAGATGCACGAGTTAAGGGAGTGCGATAGATGCACAATGGTGAACAAGTGAGATAGATGCACGAGCTAAAGGAGTGCGATAGATGCACAAAGGTGAACAAATGCGATAGATGCATGAGTTAAAGGAGTGCAATAGATGCACAAAGGTGAACAAGTGCGATAGATGCACGAGTTAAAGGGGTGCGATAGATGCACAAAGGTGAACAAGTGCGATAGATGCATGAGTTAAAGAAAAAGGCTCTCTTACTGAGACATGAACGATCTTAGTTGGAACTCCTCTGAATAAACCATACATACAATATCGTTTGTCTGTGTTGGCCAAGGAAGAAAGAAAAGAATTAAACGAGTGCGATACAATAACCATGCATGTTCTATGCAAGATAAACAACCAAGATATGATGTTGAAAGCATGTTTTATGCATAAAACAAGAGCATTTTCTATGCATGAAATCAGAACGAAAGCATATTCTATACGTGAATCATAACCGATGATGCAAGATGCGCACGTAGTGTACATATGAAATGCATATCTATGCAACAATATAAAATGCATATTCTATGCAAGGAACAAAAGAATAATTTGACAAAAACAAATTCAGTGGCAACTTCCGATTTACCTCTTAGAAGAGTTACAACATGTTTAAAAAGGATACACCTCGTTCATGTTGACAAGTGATGAACATCGTGCGCCGAAAACACAGTTTTGAGTTTCTGTAGAGACAATCTGAACTCAACAGTGAACTTTCCTTGCACTTCTTGGGAAACAAGGACATAAAATGGCATAAAGACTTAGTGAAGGAGCATCGACCACTGGCTGGCCACAAGGGGAGGGCGCTGGCCACCTGTCGGCCACCCCTAAAGCTTGTCGGCCACGAATGTTGCCTGTCGACCATCGATAGTAGATTTGGGGCAATTTTGAATTTTTACCTCGTGTCTTTATATACACACATCCATACTTCATTTCCTTACTTCTCCAAGGCCGAAATTCCTTCCTCTCTCTCTCTAGACACTTTCCTTCTCTAGATCCGAGCTTTATATGCGTTTCCTAACTTCCCACGCACACTTTCTTCACTAAACCCTCTTAGCTCTCAACATTTTGAATCGATCAAAATTTGGTTTCGACACTTCTTTCCTCATTTTCACCCTTCTAGGCTTATTCACTCCCAAGTTTCTCTCGGGTTTCATGACCTTTTTTCGGCTTTGACTTTTCCTCCCATCTTCTCTCTTCTAGGGTTTGACTTTTTTCAAGTTTACCCTATTTTCTCCATTTTCCTTCACTTTTCATTGACTTTTCACCCCATTTTCTAGATGGCAGACGATATTCCACATGACGGGGCCCCTCCAGAGGTTCCACCTTCACTAGCACCTCTTGCTGAGGTCGAGGAGCCGATGATAGCTGAGGCTAGCAGGGTGGCAAAGGATATTGAGGTAGAGCTTGAGGCAGAGTTCGCCTCGGGGCTTGAGCTAGAGTTGCCACCACTGGGGGTACGACCCTTTGATCCAGTGAGGTATCATCCCTAGACACATATCTTGCCTCCTAGAGGCATCAGATTCTTCATTGAGTTTTTTCACGGCATGCCGGACGACCTCTTGCTGAGGGAGACGGCTTCTCACCTTTTATCCCTTACTGTTGAGGTATGAACTCTGTTTACTTGCATTTCTGCCTTTCTTCACTTGCATTTCTTGCACTGCACTTTCTGACTGTATTTTCATCATTGCCTTATCTGATTCACCTATTCTCTGCCACAGGGCGACTCTCATGCATACAGGGGCTACGGGGCTATAACAGCTAGGGATTGGTACAACGAGCTTCCTGCAGAAGTCCGCAACATTGTTGATGAGGCCGGCTTCGGCCTATTCTGCTCTGGATTGACACAGGTTATAGCGAGCCGCCCACTTCTCGGAGTGCTAGTGAAGAGATGGTGGGACACCACTAACTCCCTCCATCTCTCCACTGCCGGGAGATGACGATGACTCCCTACGACTTTGCCATGATCATAGGCTTAGGAGTAGGGGGTGATCTGATCCCTTTTGACACCGATATGAGAGAGTGTGAGGCTACTTGGATAGAGCTACTAGGAGCGCACCCACCTCTGTTTCGATCAGCTATGGCCAGATATAGTTGGTTTGCCGAGCATTTCTGAGGGAACCAGCCAGAGACAGTGGATGAGATAGATCAGCATGCTCAGGGTTTTCTGATGTTCCTCCTCGATACCACCTTGTTTGCGAACAGGGTGAACACCGTAGGGTTGTACCTGCTGAGCGCCCTGGTGACCCTTTCTTGGGTGCGTTTGAAGCTGGCCTCGCCACTTTGTATGGCTACATGAGCTCTACCTCTCGTCTGTGGAGAGAGTTGATCGGAGGTTACTGGTGAGCATGAGAGGTATGCATTTATGTTCCCTCTTTGGACTTTACATGTTCTACTCTGTATTTCCTTCTTTACATCTGTTTCAACACATGTGCTTTCTGCTTTGCACTTTCTGCATTTGTTCATGCTATATGCTTTCTGCTTTGCATTTTTTATACCTGTTCATGTTGTATGCTTTATGCTTTGCATTTTCTGTATCTGTTCAAGTACATTGTTGCTTATATATCACTGCACTTTCCTTGCTGGTATGGGTATATACTTATTTTTCGACTCTCACCCCAGACCTTGTAGAGGAGCTTTCCCTAGTGGTCCCTTACTTGCGGAGGTTATGACGGCCGGCTCCAGCGTCGGACCCATGAGACCTTCAGCTTCTTTCGTCACTATTTTGACACTGTGGCTGCCCACAAGGTAACCCAAAACACAGTCATTTTGCCTTACAACTGCTCTGATTCACATTTTGGTGACTGACGGTGGCTAACAATCTCTACATACTCTGTTTGCTGATTATGTGGCAGCCATGGGCCATGATGCCAGCGGGGATTCGGGACCAGTTCGCCAGGGCTTGGGCACTTCCCACTTTTGCATTCTATTGGAGGGCCTAGTCTGCTGAGCCTGGTTTCTGAGCGAACAGTTCATGCGCCATACTGTAGGTCTGTCTGACCTGATCATTCCGATGGCGCCGCTAGAATCTATGAGGACAGCAGACAGCCTATCCATTGAGGAGGTCACCGAGATTATGGTGGGCGTGGATGCTAACTACTTTCGAGCCGAGGGCGACTATGTAGCCTTCATTCAGACGCATCTGATGCCACCTTTGACAGGCGCTCGTGGAGGTGAGGGAGCGAGAGCTCTTGTTGCGAGAGAGGCGCCTAGAGTGACCTAGGCGACCAGGGCCCATGGTAGAGGGGCTTCATAGGCAAGGCAGAGGACTGGCTGGCCAAAGCCTCCCACCGTACTGACATGTTGGCAGCACATCGCGGATGCTTACCAGGTCCGGATTGAGCCTACAGCAGCTGGGCATGAGCTTGTCGGGGTTCGAAGCTTGACTCAGGTATGGACTGTACTTTACAATTTGCACCCCACATTTCATTTCTGATATGTTTATGTGTATACTGATCATCCAAAAGGCATTTTACAGGCATCGATAGAGTACACATGAGGCGCTCTCGAGTTGATAGCCTCCATGATGGGCATGGTCCAGAAGAGAGAGAGGTTGCTTGGTCTCCACGGTATCCCGATAAGTTCTTCAGTTTACAGTTCATGCTATCATCTTTCTACTGATACACTGGCATCTCGAACTGTAATCTTTCCCAAACTGCATTTGACACACTGTATCTGATACACTACATTCACACACTGTACTTACATACCTTGTATCTGAATTCTGCATACACTTATGCCGCATACCATGCTTGCATCTGATACATGCTGAGACTGATATGATGACAACTGTCTTTTCAAATCCCACCCATACCGGGTGCACCAGCGGCAGCTGCAGCACCAGCACTAGTAGTACCTCCTCCAGCAGTAGAGAGGAGAGAGAGAGGGATAGAGACAAGGGTGCCCGAGGCCAGAGGAGCACTCCAGAGCCCATTATGAGTGATGAAGATGCTGAGACCTGGGACTCTGAGGAGGCAGTGAGTTTGCATTCTGAGCCATCTGAGAGTGAGGGTGACGATGCCAGCTCTGGTTCCGAGAGCGGAGGTTCTGATGCCGAGATAGGTTCAAGGATAGAGAGTGGAGATACTACCAGCTCTGGTTCAGAGGTTGATTCTGGCAGCAGTGCTTCTGACAGTGGCGCAGATGGAGATAGTGCCTCTGAGTCCTCTCCTCTGAGGAAAAGGACGAAGAGGGCCCCTCCAGCCTGAGGCGACTGGTGCTGATTTATTTTTTTATTTTTTTGTTTTTTTGCTTAGTTTCTTTTTTTTTTTATAGCATTAACACATTGTATTGCTTTAGACAGGTTTTATTTTGCTTTAAAACTTGTACTTCACTTTCATAAAAAAACCAAGATCGAAATAAAACTAGCAGTTTTTATGAAAAGTGTGATTATTTTTGCATCATGAGAATGATATATGCATGAAATGGACATGGAATTGAATTGAATTGGCCAAGAGCACTCTTGATTGAAACAATGTTCTTAATCAGGTAATGAGCTGACTAACAACTGAAATACAAAATGCAACATACAACTCAATAAACAAAGGCAACTCGATAAACAAAACAAAATAATCAAATACAAACGAACAAACCTTGCTAAAGTCAAAGACTCAAAACAAGACCTTGAAAGAAACAAAGATCAAAACAAAACATATGCTTCCAGCACTACTTAACACACAGGTGGACGACAAGCCTGAAAAGGGGACTGTCGACTAGTGATGGAGGTTGTCGGCCATCAAAGGTGGCTGGTCGGCTACCAAAGTGGCCTGTCGGCCATCACCAGTGGCTAGTCAGCCACTAGTGTAAGGAACCTCCAGATTGTTGATAGATGGCTTCCACTCACAGCCTTATCTTCTATAAAAGGTTCAGCTTCGTGATTTCCCTTCCAAAACTTCACTTCAGCTGTAATTTCTTCCACAAATGGAGCCATTTCTTGTCGAAAGAATCTCGGATTGGATTGTGACTTTAGATGGCGCGAAAAAGGTAAATTTCTGGGATTTTGGCATAAATGCACTTTTTTCGTTGAGCCTAACTTCGCTTTGTTTTCCATTCTTTTATGCCACGGCTAGATGTTGGAACTCGATTGCACATGTCTGTAGCTTCGAAGAACAAGAAACATGCCTGATAATTGAAGAATTTTAGGCGCTAATGGAATCTCGATGTGAACAAGAAATCATATCTCAGCCCCGTATCGGTCACATCCAAGCTTTGGGACGAATGTGTGGGCTCACTCTACATGAGGCTGAATTTTTGGTTCACAATGGAGAGCTGGACATTCCTAGTTTGATTCATCGATTCTCCGATGTTGGTAGCCGCGACGACCTTCTTTGGCGGGTTTTTCGGCAATATGGTTTTTGGCGACATGCCCTCTGCTTGTGTATGCTTGCACATTTCCTTCTTGCCCCTAGTTTTGGCAGGTCCATGTAGACGTCCCCGAATGCCCCGGGAGGATGAGTCCCATTCTATTCATATTGGGTTCACTACAGTTCAGGACTCTCAAATTGTCACGGTTCTTAATCTAAACCAAAGAGTCCAAATCCAGCAAATTGTTTTGATAAAAACAGATTTTTAGAAAAGAAGTGCCAAACATGGACTGCATTGCCATATACAGAATCGCCACCTAAATATTTTTATGTGGGAATTTAGGAAACCCTGACTCGTTTGCCTAAGGCCACGTGTCCGTCATCACCAAAATTGCCTCGGCTCGGGAACTTGGGTACGATTGGGGAAGGTCAGCTATGAGCACCCCCGCTCGCCCAATCAAAGATCGACCTCTACTAACCATGATATCTAGTTTTGAAAAGATTATGCGTTCTTATTCCGGTTATTAGCCTAGATTTACTACGTGATGCGCACAACAAACAAATATAGACTAGATCGCCTAATTTGGAACAAAGCATCACATATCCGTTTATTTGGAAAATGTTTTGAAATTTGCTACTCGCGAGTAGACTAAAACACGGATTTTGATGAGTTGTTCCAACTCAAGCAATCCAACCTTCACCCACAGGCATTCATGTAGTTCATATCACATAAGCATCTAGCCACATGGTAAGCATGCTGTCATGTTAACATTCACACTCGTGCGAGATGCTAAAGCACAAAATACTTACAGGGTACTCCAAGCCAAAACAAAGAACTCGTTAGCAATCAATGTATGATCCAAGTCCATGTTAAGTGCCTAATGCAACGCATACAGAATGCAATTGGGATAGGCCCGGCTAATCTTAGGATGTCATGTGAAATGCAACCATTTGATGCACATATTCAAGTTTAGATTTGAAATACTATGCAATTAGTATGATGCGCCGAGCCTGATGCATGCAATACTGATGAATGATGCACGCATGCATAGCATAAGGATGCTAAATTAAATATGTCCTAGTACTAACCATTAAAGTAGGTAAGTAAAAGGGAGAAAGAAGTGGGGGTTGGAAGACATGCATACAGTCAGAAATCAGCTTATGTTCATAGTTATAAGTTATAAGCTGTTAAGGCATAAGCTATAAGCACTTTCCCACAGCTCTACCAAACATGGCCAATATAGAAGCCAAATCACTAGCCACACTTACATGGAAACAAAGTAAAAAAAGACAGAAACTTAAAATGTAAGTCGCGTGTATGCGCGCATTTCAATGCGTGATGGCCCAAGGAACCAAGTTGTGCATTTTGATTTCAAATGTAATGCAATGCATATAAACATACAAGGGAGCCTTCAACCTCTATCATGGCTTGATCAAGAGGTGAGGCATGCATCCCAATGTAATGCAACCTAGGCATGTGAACTAGGCATGCAATATGAACATGCAAGCAAGTAATGACGCTAGGCACACAACCTAAGGAATCAATCATGCAAGGCATGGAAAGACAAGCATACAAAATGTAATGTGGGCATGCAAGTAGGCAAGGCATGTGACAACATGTTAGGCAACTTAACCAAGATAAATACATGCCAAATGCAAAGCCATTTAAACATGCAACAACACATGATAAGCTAAGTATGCAATCAACACACAAGGTGAGCATGCCACAACATGCGAGAATGGACTTAGACTAATTTAGGTAGCCCTTAAACAAGCCTAAAACAGTGGCCAACATGCTCAAGGATGGAAGCCAAAATACATACAAATAGGCATGCAAGTAAGGTCCAACACTTAGGCACGTAGAGACAACTTTTAAGCACACTTAAAAGAGAATAAACATGGACCAATGGCATGCATTATAAGCTCTAAAATTGCATGGAAAAGAGGTGCCAAACTGACCAATCAACATAGGCAAAGCATGGAAGCATGGCCAAAACTCAAGGCAAGCTAAAAGGGTATTGAGCTACACTTAGCAAAACCAAACATGGTAGGATTTAAAAAACCAAAATCATAGTCTTAGCATGTTAAAACAAAGCCAAAAACACATCTAGATGGCATCTAAATGGTCTAAACATGCAAGCATACAAAAGAGGCCAAACATGGAGCATAAGATGACAACCTTATAAAGCATTAAAGGGACATCAAATGTAAGCATACAAGCATGCCATGAGGACTGAAATGACATGCTAAGCGGTTCCAAACCACTGAAATGATGCAAGCAATGCAAGCTCCACACTCACACACCCAAGGACTACAAACCAAAATGCAAGGTGGCTACACTAAGCATGTCATGGTCGACCAAAAAAACCAAAAACGAAGCTTAAGTATGCTAAAACGAGCACAAAAGCTTCACAAAGCTAAGACAAAAGCATGCTAGAAACAAGGCTCAAAGCACAAGGCATGTTAAGGCAATCCACGACATTACAAGACAAGTATGCAAGGCAAGCATGGTGTGTCCAAACCAAGTAAAAACAGAGGTAATATATGGAAAAATACTACCAAATAATACTTAAGACATGGCCAACATGCACTTAGAAAGGATGCTCACACATGAGGCAAAATTGGTCCTTTTCAAGGACAACAAGGAGAGGGGGTGGCCCTCTCCTTCTTAGGACCTTAAGGCACCATCCTCACCACTGAAATCCCTCAAGATTTCAATGGTGAGGAGGCCCAAAAAGCTATGCAAAAATGGGGAATAAAGGGCAAGAACACTCACCCTTGAAGAACACTTCCAAGATCACAAGACTAGACCTCTTCTTGGATCAAAACTAGCTTAAAAAGTTCAAGATCAACCCTCTAATGCCTCAGCAACTAAGGAAAGGTGTAATGGTAGGTGTTTGTGTGCAATAGTAAGAACAAACACACACTAATACACCAAAAGGAGGAAGAGATATAGAGATAGAGTATATGTAAACCCTAACCCTAAAACTCAGAGCTCTGGAGCTTTTTTTGTCAACCCTAATGGAGGGAGAAGAGGCTCCTTCTTATAGAGCTCACTCTTGCAAAGCTTCCCAAGTAAGCTAGTCAAGAGGGAGATCCCTCCATACATGTGTATGTAGGGGAGCAAAGTGGGTGCCAGCTATCACAGCTAGCACAAAAATATTTGAAAAAGCAGATGAACAGTGGTTAGCCAGCCAAAAATGCAATTTGACCAAAATAGATGGCCGGTCGACCATCTAGAGTGCTGGTCGGCCAAACATTTGGCCGATGGCAACAAAACACAGCCGGTGGCCTCAAGCCATGGCCGGTGGAGTGTGGGGATGGCCAACAAGCCATTCCCAGCCCCTCAAAGGCAAAACACAAGTGTTTGGTGCAAAACCAAGCACAAAACAGTCGAGTCGAGAGATCCTGAGGCAGGGCGCGTGACCGAGACCTCCGGGAACTCAAGATGAACACAAACATGGATGATCACCGAGTGTTCAAACGGTGACGTCTTGAGGACGGTAAAAAATGGGGTGTCTACAGTCCAGCATTCGGTTGGTCGAAGTGGCCTAAGGTTTGAAAGAGGACAAGAGTTGCATTGGCTTGACATTGGCCGAGACCTTAATGGGCTTAGACGCTTTTCATCGGCGGGAGACTACCAAATTCGCAGGGAGTCCACTACTTCTTCAGAAATTGTTTCCCATCCTTTCTCATATGTGTTTCTCACATCGCTCGGCACTCATGCTCTGTTTTTCTCTCGAAGCACTTTTCTCACTTTTCTCTTAACATACATCTCTATATTCTTTAATCTCTCTTTTCTTTCATTCCTTCCCAGGTTTGGTTAATGGACAAGTAGAAGGTAGTGGAGTCTTGCCCTGAGTACTCAGCTCGAGGCTACTTCTTCTGCCACTAACTTGTAAATT